CCGATCTCTAGATGTAAAGCCGCCGCCTTCTAAGAAGCAGCCTCCTTCTAAGAAGCCCTCCCCCTTGCCTCCACCCCCTTGTGCGCGCCGCCCAAGAAATCAGGGGACACATCCCGGCACGATCACTTGCCAGTCTGGTGCCCTCCAGCGGGGCTCTGGCGCCGCATGTCAGCTCGGGTGCCTCTGGCGAGCCACTCGGCAAGCACCAGCCCCAGCGACGGTCTGCTGCCTCAGCGCCTCCACCCCCTTGTGCGCGCCGCCAAGAAAAGCCGCCCGTCCTGCCCCAGCGGCTGCGGGGCCGGCCAGGGGCTGGCCCCGCTGCCTGCTCCCGCCGCCGCCATGCACAGCCCGAGCCCCACGGCTGGGCGAGAGGGGGGGGGAGCAGCAGAAGACGGAGGAGGAGGAGGAGGAGAAGGAAGAGGAGGAGGAGGAGGAGGAGACGGAGGAAAAGGAGGAGGCGGAGGAGGAGGAGGAGGCGGAGGAGGAGGAGGAGAGTGTCTTTTCCAGGGCCTCCAGGGGCACCCGCGCGCGCCCTTACACGGCGCGAGCACGTCTTGGGCTGCACTCCTGGGCAAGGGCAAGCGCGGTCAGCCCGCGCCTTCTGCGGCCTGCGGCGCGTCGCCGCCCCAGGCAGTCCTCTGGCGCACGCCGCCCGCGCGCCCAGGGCCGCGCGGGGGGCGGCACCCGTGGGCCAGGTGGCGTGGTCGGACGGTCGGCCCGCGCCCGCGGCGGAGCCTTCTCTCCGGAAGGGCCCCACTCACCGAGCGCGTCCCGTCGCAAAGTGCCTATTCGCCAGCGTCAGAGAAGAAAGGAGAGAAGCAACAACAAAAAAACGTCTTCCTCCTCGTAATGGATCGTAGATCCCCCGTGGCGGATCCAGGCAGCGTGCGAGCCGCCACCCTGCGAGGAGTGGGACGCGCTTGTCCACCCGACCTCCCCTCTCAAGGGGTGCGGGGCGCATCCAGCGGCAGGGGGGGGCCTCCGAAGAGGACCCCCCCACCCCCGCCTGCCTGCGGGGCGCGGGCCGCGCCCCTCGGCCCGAGGGGCCCCCCCCCGCCCCCCCGCCCGTCGCCGAGGACAACCGCAGGAGGCTGGCGGAGGACCTCTTCGCCCGGGAGGACGACCTCTTCCGACGGACGCAGGACCACGTTCCCCAGAGCAGACCTGGAGAGCCGACGCTCCGAAAAAGTTGGAGCGGCCAGTTGCTGGCCGCGTTCGGCTTCCGGGGGCCCTCGCCAGGCCTCGGGAGCGTCAGAAAAAAAGCTTCCGGGCGACAAACCGGCAGGGCGAAAAACCGGCCTCAGGGAAGTGGTCCAGGTCCAAGGCCCACGCATCGAAAAAAATTGGAGCGGCCAGATGTCTGGGGAGCCATCTCAGAGCCATCATCGCCGTCAGAACCGCCATCGTCAGAGCCATCCTGGAGCAATCCCGGACCAAAGCCCTCTCAGAGCCATGATCGTCGTAAGAACCGCCATCGTCAGAGCCATCCCGGAGCCATCCCAGGCCAGAGCCATCCCGGACCAGGACCATCTCAGAGCTACCCTCCCAGACCGGCGGACACAGGGACCAGCATCGTCAGGACCATCCCAGGCCCCGCGAAGGCAGGGGCAGGGTGGCTCTCCCAGCGTGGCCCCCTCTGGGTGGGGGGCGGGCTCTGCGGAGCCCGAGGGAGGCAGCGCCCGTCCCCGCCCAGGGGGCGGTGGGAGAGATCGGCCGGCGGGGCCAGGGGGCCCCTGGAGGGGTCGGGGACGGCAGTCCTCGGCCAGAAGGACTACACCGAGCGGGAGAGGAAGCTGATGGTGGACCGGCGGGAGCTGGAGCGCTCGAGGCGCACACTCGCCATAGTGCAGGCGCACGCCGTGGGCATGCTGGACAAGGCCGCCAACGGCGGACGGGTGCCGACCATCTCCATCCTGGCGGTGCGCGCAAAGGGGGCGGCGCGAGGAGGGGCAGCCCTCTACGAAGGGGGGGGGGGAGCTTCTCAGAATGCGGGGGCCTTCGAAGGGCATGGATGCCTCTGCCACGCCTTCTTCGAAGCTGGGAGGGCTCCCGAGAAGCCCCCTGCCTGTCTAGAAGTTCCCCCGCCCCCTTAAAAGGCCGCCCCCCTCGCGCCTCCCCCTTGCGCGCGCCGCCAGCCATCGGCTCCATGGGCTCTTTCAGCAACAGCCCCGAGGCTGCCGAGGAGCTCGAAATGAACATATCTAGGGTGGACTCGGCAACCGCGCACGAAGCGGACGGAGTCTACGAGGAGGACTGGACGCTCGGAGCGTTGGATAAGCCGCCCGCCTGACAAAAAAGTGCATCCTCAGTGTGCTTCACCAGCGAGAGTATCCAGATCAAGTCATCGTGTATCGCGCTATTGACTGTCAATGTCGCCAATGAGACTTGAGCGATTTACGCGTGCACCCATCACTATCTGGCGCAGTAAAATTGGTAATATGCATGGATGGGTTTCTGATATGTGGTGATATGGGGCCGACCCACATCTTAGTGATCGTGCCATCATCAAGTCCACACATTATGACAACACATTCGGCAGTATAGCATCACTGCAGTTGCCAAAGCTGGTCTCACAACCATCGCCATCGTCATCGTCGCTGTGTTCATCACCATCGTTTGATCATGGCCATCTCCATTAATCGCATGTCGAATACATTTCGCGATCGTTCACACCAGGAACGGAAGCTGCAACCTAACCGTACAGCACCTATAACGACTACCTCAACAGCCAAATCGGTGTCGTCAGCACAATCGAACGATCGCAGTGCACCCGAACCAATGCATCAATATCAGGGTGGATATCTTCGGGTTCGGCCTCCTCGGCTTGGTCCACCTGGGCATGTTACATTACTTGGCGATGCAAGGGTCCTTCGCCGAACGTGTGACATGGCGAAGTCGAAGAAAGGCATGCTACGCACTACCAGGGAGGAGGATTGGCCGCCGGAGGTGGCCAGCCATGAAGCCGGAGAAGGACACTCCAGTGTGGTGCATCCCCGTCAAGTGCAGGAGGCTACGGAGGAGGACTGAGGAAGGAGGGCAAAAGGCTGAGGCTGGAGCCGTCAGTTTCTGGAGGAGACTGTGGAGGAGTGCTGCCAGTGACCCAGGGCAGCCGCCGCCGGAGGAGAGGGCGAGGCAGGGAGTCTCCTCCACTTCGTGGCCGAGGAGGTGGTGTTGCAGGCGTCGAGTATCGAGGGCAAGCTTCGAGGCTCCGTCTGCGTCTACATATTCTGCGGGTTGATCTTTTTCATCTTGCTCGGAATTCAAAGACCTCGAGGGCTCAGTGTACCTTGAGGCTGACTGGAAGGCTCTACCGAGGTGGTGTTGCAGGCGTCGTGTGTCGAGGACATGCTTTGAGGCTCCGCCGTCGCCTACATCTTCATCTTCTTCGGGCTCACCATCGTGCTAGGAATTCGAAGCCCTTGATGTCTCTACGGAGCTCGAGGCGGTCTAGAAAGATCTACACCAGCTAGACGCCACACAAGCTCAGGCTTTCTGGCGTGCAAGGAAAGGAGCCACCAGAGCTCATGAGGAGGAGGAGGAGGAGGAGGTACAGGAGACAGCCACAAAGGCTCCTGACATCCGCGGCGGACCGGCTCCAGGAGACGTCGAAGCTCTCTGCAAGGGGCTCACCAAGTTTCTCAGTGAGTTCCAAGAGGTCGGACGTCCTGTGGAAGGAGGTAGCGAAGCGAAGCCCCCAGCGGCAACTCGACGCCAAGAGGGCAAGGGAAAGGATCTAGAGGAGTTCGTGGCCAAGCTCTCCAAACTGGTCAAGGACGCTCAGACTCAGAAGTGGCCGCTGCCCAAGCTCGTAAAATACATCGCGAAGATGATAAAGACCACCCAGCGGCAGCAGCAGCCAGCTCCGAGGAGGAATCGGTGGGCCCGTGGTGCCGCCGGGCAGCGTGTCAGGCACGAGGACGCTCAGGAACAGTCAGCCCCAGCACAGCACCAACAGAGGCAGCCACATCTTCCGAAGATTGCTGCCCAAGGCTGGGAGCCTGGCCAGGTGGTGTCGGCACCAGCTTTTCTTGCAATGCTGGATGGTGAAAAAAACAGCGAGGTTGCCAAAGTGAATCTGGTTATGGCTCTTCCTGAGCAGGTCCAGAAGATACGAGACGCTGGGATTGCACAATCTCTGGACAAGCAGCTTACGGTGTGTTGCAGTGGCGAGCCGCCCCAGGCAACATTCAAGGAAGCAGCCGCTAAGAAGTGGATGCGCGTCGAACGGCCGGGTAAAGGCGACACGGTGGAATTGCTCAGCGTCGTCAGCGTCATTTCCAAGGGCGTGCCGAGAGAGATCGGCACCACGGTCACACAGGCTAAAGGAAAGGTCAATGACCTCAGCGGTGATGTGACCGTCACGGTCGTCAGAGTGGCTTTCGTCAAAAAGTATATGGGTACAGAGGCCTGGCGGGCAAGTCCTGTCTCGGCCCTCACGTCCATATGGGATACAGCCCCGCTGGTGCGGATTTACGGCTTTCGCATGCTCACCGACGAGAAGGACGAGAACAATCACATAGCTCCGCCGCGGCCTGGCGGCTTTGTTCTTTCATAATTGCTGGAACGTGGCGTCTTCGGCGACATGCACTCACAGGAACAGCCCATGCGCATGATTCACTAAGCCGCTTGTGATGCGGATTCTTGATTCCGCCCTTTGGCAGCAGCATAGCATCGGTGAGATGTACTCTTCGATGGCTGGCGGCTGCCCCATCTGGATTTCCTCTCGTGGGCAGATTTGGATTGCCTGCTTGCGCGCCGCCCAGCCGGCCGGCCGCGAGGATGTCGCCCAAGCTAAACGCGACGGTCAGCGCCCTAGGCTTCAGCGGGTTGTAGTTGTCTCTCTGTCTACGTCTTTCTTCCCCGACACTTTCGTCCTCACTATCGCCAAGCGTTTAAAGGTGTTGGGTCCCTCATCCGAGGTGCTTGCCGACTTAGAGCTCCGCTGGCAAGCCTTGCGGCGTGAGCTCACGCAATTATCCCCGGCCAGTGGTGCGCGGTGAAGACGCTATGCGCGGGAAGGATCACATCCCACAGGATGCACGTCCTGAAGCCTCGGCCTTGCCACTTCGGTTGTTTGGCACGGGACTCGATGTGCCGTTATTGGCAGTGCCCTCGTCTCACGCATTTTACCGCCCTCCCCCGCGCCTAGTCCTCGCGTGTTCGTCATGCGGGGACTGGGCTCCGAGCAGGGCAATTCCTCCCTGGACGACGCTCGCCCAGCGGTCATCCGCAGGATAATCATCACATTCTATCTCGTTCACGTTGTGGAAGTCGAGATGGTCTCTCTGCCAGAGCATCGAAGAGAGCGCAACCGTTGCTCTTACGACTTCGCGCACAGATGCCTGCTGGCGGCTCGCCAGGGCGCCGAGCTATGAACTGTGGGCGGGTTGGTGTGGGGCGGGAGGAGAAAGGGCGGCAAGTAATGGTCTCCATTTAGGGCTATCGCTCGTGATCCCGCTGGTGCTTACCATTGCCGTTTGGCTCAAGCCTTTGCGAACGTCGGCCTGAACCCCTTTTGCAAACACAGGTGGAGGGTCCTATGAGAATGGCGGGGGGAGGCGGCAAGCAGGCATCAGGCTAACATGAGTGATTGCCGAGTAAATCGAGATGTAGGACGGGGTGGTGGGTTGTGAGCGATAAATGGGCGGTGGAAGCTGGGCGGGGCGTGCATTTCAGAAACTGTCATGGCTGGCAAATCCGTGCTCCCGCTGTTGGCGTTGGCCGTTGAGCACCGGCATGCCGCTCCTTCATATTCGGGCGGGCCTCGCTCCCCGCGGTCCACTGCTCGTTCGCGGCGAGGCCCCGCCTCTTGTAAAGTTAGTGCACCGGGTTTTCCTGGGATGGGTCGTCGCGCCTCAGGCCACGGCTACTCCTCATTATTTCCCTCCCCGTCCTCCTCCTCTTCCTCACCCCCTCTCTCTCTCTCTCTTTCTCCCTACCCATTCACTGCCTTCATTTCACTGCTCCTGCTCCCAGTCCTCCCTCCTCCCTACCCCTCTCCTCCTTCCTCCCCCTTCTCCCTCCCCTCCCACCTCGTCCCCCCCCCCCCCCAGCAGCGGCAGCAGCAGCAGCTGAGGAGCGCGAGCAGCAGCCTGGAGCAAAGGGGAGGGAGAGGCGGCAGTATGAGAACCAGCGGCAGTAGGAGCCGCGACGGCGACGTGCGCGGTGGCAGCGGCGGCAGCGATGGCGGCGGCAGCGGCAGCGGCAGCGGCAGCGGCAGCGGAGTGTTCTCTCGCGCCCCGACTGCGGAGGGCCGCGCACGCCGCGCGGCTCGCCGAGGAGCACTCGGCCAGGGACGCGGCCAGGGCGGCGCGCCTGTCAGCGAGGGAGGCGCGGCGAGAGGGGCATCGTTTGCTGGTGGTCCTCATGCTGCTGTTGCTGTTCCTTCTCCTCCTGATCCTGCTCATCAAGCTCCAGCCCGCCCTCCTCATCCTCTTCCTCATCATCGTACTGGCCGTCATCATCGACACCATCATCATCAGCAGCAGCAGCATCACCACCATCATCATCAGAACACTTACCAACTTCATCAACATCATCGTCATCAGTATCACTATCATCATCCTCATCACCATCATCAGCAGCAGCATCATCATCATTATCGCCGTCCTCTTGCTAGAGCAGACGAGGAGAATGAAGAGGAGAAGGAAGACGAGGACGAGAGGGGAATGAGGAGAAGAACAGTTGAACACTCAGCCGACCAGCTTTGGATAAACATCTTGCCCCGCGCGTCTCCTCGTTTTGCTCCTCGTCATCCTCGTCATGCTGCTGGTCACATGTCTGCTGCTGCTGCTCATCCTTACCCTCCTCATCCACCCCTGGGGAATGAAGCGGGGAAGCGGGCATGCGGAAGGGGAAGGGGGAGAAGGGGAACGCGAGGCGACGGGGGGGTGGGGAGGTGGGAGAGCGGGGTAAGGCAGGATGAGTTGGGAGAGCAAGCAGGCAAAAGGTGGAGTTGAGAGGGGGAGGGGTGGGTGGCATTGGAGGTCTTGAAGGTGGAGTACGGGCGAGACCCTTGCATAGGCTCCGTAGCTATACCATACCCCTCACAGGTGGCAACCATGAGATCGCGATGCTGTACCCATGTATCCTGGTCTTGCACCACCGATCAGCAGCAGCAGCAACAGCAGCTGTAACGCATAGCAATAAGAGCAGGATATGATGCAACAGCAATCAGGAACAGTAGCAGGAGCAGTTCCTGTTTTGCCTTAGCTGTAGTTGTAGTGTGTAGTGGCACTGGTGGTGATGTTGAAAGGAAGATAAGGAGAATCAGCAGCAGCAGCAGCAGCAGCAGCAGCAGCAGCTGCATCGACAACATTGACAGCAACATGAACAGAAAGCACGAAACCCAAAGCTGCAGGAGGAGCTGTGGCAACCGAATCAGTGGCAGGAACAGTATGAGCCTATCGGTTCGTCGTCGCTGTCATCCGTCGTCGTCCTTCTCCTTGTCTGTCCCAGAGGCATAGGGGATGAGCACCGCAGCCTGCACGCCTGCATTCA